AAAGGGGGTAGGACTAGATAAGTGTATACTTCTTCCTACTCCCTTTCAAGCATGTACTATTGGAATGTTGTGATGTCTTATGCATATTTGTTGAAATGTCTAATCAATTTTGTTTTTCGCAATATCAAGTTTCTTAGTTTTACATGCTTGGAAGAAACTTAAATAAATAAATAAAAAATCCTTTATTTTGGTGAAGTTCTGCTTGGAGCTAGCGAGCTTTCACTGTTTTGGTGGATTCAGTGAAGTGTTTTACCTGCGTAGCTCTAAAAAAATAGACTTGAAGCTACAATTTGGCTCCAGGTCACAGCTGCGCCTGTAAAGGCGAGTGATATGTCAACACTCCAGATCACTACATGTACTTTCTTGCCCCAGATAGTGACTCTTCTCAAACAACCACTCCCTATCTCTTTCTGTCTCTAACGCACATGCTGCTCCCATGCAGCATACATTCTCTTATTATATTCTTATATATTTTTATTATATCTCTGCATTTGCTGCTTAAAGTGCCTTAGATTTAGTGTTACTTTTTTATCTACTTTATATTTCATTTGTATTTTGTGGCATTCATGTGGACGGCAAAGTAAGAATTTCATTGTACAGGGAAACACGTTTCCTAACTGTGCATATGACAAATAAACACTTTGACTTTTACTTTGACTTTAACGCAGACGTATGAGGACCAGCACAGCAGTGAGGAGGAGGAGGAAGAGGAGGAGGAGAGCGAGGATGGTGAGGAGGAAGATGACATCACAAGCGCTGAGTCAGAGAGCAGCGAAGATGAGGAGAACGGGGAGCCGGAGGACCAGAAGGGGGCCAGCAGACAGCAGCAGCTGGAGTGGGACGACTCCACCCTCACCTACTGAAACAACACACACGTAACACTCAACACAAAGTCTCACATTCACACAGATCCTCAGCTTCACCCCCACCCACAGTTTAATGTACAAGGAGCCATGATGTAAAAAAAAAAAAAAAAAAGAAAAACTAAAAAACAATCTCTTCAGCTTGTATGGTCAAAGTTTTCCTGTTGTTATCGTAGTGGTGGTACTCAGTGTAGTGTAGTCATCACCGTATTGCTGATTTTTACTGTTTCTTCTTTTTATTTATTATATTTTAATTCCCAGGAAAACTTGGCCTAAATTTGTTTTGAACTGTGTGAGGAAGCCAACCCTGCACTTCCTGTTTTTTCTCAGATGTTTTCAAATGGAGAATCATTCTTTTTCCCTGATGTATATTCCTGCTTAATGCTTCTAGATTTGTTTGCCACTGAACTCACATATAGCATTGACTTGAGTTTTCTTGACCTGTAGTCCACAGTAAAACAAAAATTATGCTTTTAACAAGTAGACTGCATTTTGCTTTTCCTTTTTATTTAGTGCATGAGAATATTTGAGAAGTCATGTGTAGAGAAAACATTGCTTTTTAAAGATTTTGTAAATATAAAGAAACCATGTAATTAGTCGATGTGTTCGTGAAGGCCTACTCAACAGGGTCCAATATCTCTAAAGTGACACAGTATGAAATGTAGAATATTTGTGTCACAGCTCTAGCATGTGGCTAAATTTCCGCAAAATCTGTTCCATCACGCTTGTACAAAAATTCCTGCTTCATGATGAGAAACCCAGGACTGTTAAGCAGAGGTTTCCATGACAAAGTGGTGTTCATTTCCTTTCTTTTTTCAAAGATTTTTTTTTTTTCTTGCTTGTAGTCAGGCCATGTTGGTAGTTTCAGCTTTATACATGCTTTGCTTGCACAGGAGGCAGTACCACAGGCGCCAGTGTATTTCATTCCCAGTAGATATCACTGTTGTACAGAAGGCATTTTCTTTTTGTTCGAAGTAAGCACACACTGAGAAATGCTAGGGTACAAAGCAACATTTCGTGTACATCGGTACAAACACCAGGCCAGCAGGTACTGTAGTACTGGTGATCTTGAAATATAGGCACTAACATTTCTGCTAGTATTTGGACAATTAGAGAGATTTCAGCGGCTTCCAAAAGCCTTTCGTCTGGATCACAGTCTTGCAGTGTTAACAGAGGTAGCAAGGAAAAACAAAATGCTTCAAACTACTGAAAGAGCAGATTCATGACGGACAGAGCTTTATGGAGCCTGGTTGAATAGTGCAGTTGCTGGCATTATTTTCAAGGAGAGAAGTGAGATGTAAGTACTTTTCAGGATTGTATTGTTGGAACCTTATCTTCCATGGAACAGCTATTTAACCTGAAATAATAATACATATACTGAAGGCATTTTTAAAGTGGTTTCTTATTGATAAGCAAGCACCGTCTTCATCATAGTTGGAATCACATGTGAGAATACAACTGCATAGTTTTCAATAGGAAAACACTTTAAAATGAATCATCTTCTTGTTTGAATCTTTAAAATGAAATATTTTTTGCAGTAGACCACTAGATTTTATTGTACATGGAACGTTATTGTAGAGTTGTTCTAAGAGATCTGTTTACATTTGGTAAACTTGTTTTCCTTCTGTTCTTGTATGAAGCCTAAACAATTGATTGGGAAAATGTGTTCAATAAATGTTGTTGTCCATCACTGTTGTATATATCCTTCACAAAGCCAGATAAAAATGTACCATCACTCTTTACTATTCAGTGTTGGTCTCATGTTGTTGGGTACTAGGTGAATTTTAACATTTCCCAAACCTGCATTAATGAAAGCAGATCAGACACTGGGCACCGCCGTGAGCAGAAGGTGGCGTTGTCACGATTAGAAACGTTGGTGTTGCAAGTGTCATATTTTGCATGCAAATCTATTTTAAGAAGCTAAGATTCAATTGAGAAATGCATAAAAGGATGTTTTAGGAGACAGATTCCAGGCTTCGTTTGAGTCACATAGTTGTTTGATTCTTTGGTTCAGTTCATATAGGATTTTTAGAAGTCTGTGATAGGAACTAGAGTGAATGGTCTCCCCTCTGTGATGACTTGGACTTGGACTAAAAAGGGGGCCATGTCTGAGCCGACTGAGATGGGAGTACCTTTTGCCCATTGTAGCGCTTTTAGTAGGTCTAATAAAAACATTCATCCAAGCGCTTTTATTTGTGGCAAACTTTGTTTTTTAATTTATATGTTTACTGCTAGCTGTCCTACAGAGCTGGGGTTTTCTTTCAGTTTGTCGTAACAGTAGTCCACTGCTAGTTTTATTAAAAGTGACAAAACGTTTTACATAGATGTCATGTGTCCATGTTGATGTGTAGAGGAACTAGATTCATATTGTATCCTCAATAGATATTGTACTAAATCATATTGACGGAATTATCTTTCAAAAGATGTACAGTACATAATAAGGAAATTGCTTTGGCAGCATACATGGGTATACTGTTAATTGACCTGTTTATAATTGTAGGTACTTTGAACAGTGTCCTATTGCCTGAGTTGTTGAGAAATGATTTTGAGGGCAGCATGAAATTCACAAGAGTGTAAGCCTGTCAGCTCTGACATTGTTTCATTGTCAAACATTTAAATGTCCACATTTCATATACACTTTAAAGTACAGTACCATGAGTCACTGATATGTGCACACTGAGTCTGAAGTCAAGTCTCCACACAATCTTGTTTTCTGGGTTCTGTGCTTTCTGATCAGTCCCTGAGCTAAGTGCAGATTGGTTGGACTGAATGTCACTGCCTAATAAACTGAAATGCAGCCATACTGAAGTAACACTCAAGATATAAGGGGAATTTACTTTGCATGAACCACAAGTTTATGTTCCATGTGAGAAGGGAGATATGATACACTGCTGATTCTCAGATTGTCTGTTTCACATGTCCACGACACTCCAGCTATATATATATTTTTTGTTTTCTTTTAAAAATTTGCTCAAAATGGAAGGTTACGATGTTCCCAGAATGGTTGGATGCTTCCTTTGTGCTTGTTGGAGCTGCTCTCACTTTTCTACCAGTTGAAAGGCAAATTGTAGTGAAGTTGATGCTTGCTCGTAAACAAAATAAAGGATGATGAAATGGGACATAACTTCTGTCTGTTCTTGTTTTCCTTCAGTCATACTTGAAAGTACATCACCAGACTAAATTTAGTACTGGTGGAACACGCCCTGAGTAGTGCCAATGTTTTAAATCTTGACCATTAGTGTCCTCTGCTGGTGGAAATAAAATTCTCTGAAGCCTGAAAGTAAATGCTAACAATAGCCATCCATCCACCATCTATATAATTTATTGTGAAGAGGGTCACTGGGGGGCTGGAGCAAATCCCAGCTGACAGTGGATAAAAGGTGTGGTACAGATTAAAAGATAACATTTCAATGGTAAAACAAATCAAATCAATAACAAGACCATTTTCTATTTTTTTTCCTCACATTGAACGTTACATTGCTTAAAAGCTGTTCATCAATTAAGACAGATGTTGCATTTCAACCAGTCAGATATAAAGATGAATTATAATGCAATATTGTGCTTGATTAGTGCATACTGTAATTACAGTAAAATTACAGCTGTCAACCCAAGCACAAACTGAAATGCTTGATAATCTATAAAGAGAATGGACAAAATAATGGAAACAGCTGACAATAAAAAGCAACAATATCCAAACAAAATCACATATTAAAACTTGACTTTTTAGGCTTTAAGATAAGTAGACACAGCACAGCATAAGTCACAATAGACTATTTCTCATGACCTGCCTGGACTATCCTCTACATTCATATACATGTCTTCATATTAAACAAATGACATGCTCATACCTGTAATACAGCTGTACACTTATCTGGACAATTAAAAGACATTTACAAAAGTTGAAGGCTATAAAACAATAAAGTTAAAAAGTGTAAGAGCCTACAGCAGCACTGAGAAGTGCACTGATTATTTACAAAGTCTATGGCACATTTCTTTCTTGATCATTGAAACCACATTGAGCTAAAATTAACATTCTGTAAAATTTCTATGTCTTGGTTTTCACACCCGAGCTAGCTAAAGCCATAATTTTGTCTTCAGACCCTGAAAGAAAATGAAGGAAAACAAGATAAATATGAAATCTAATCATTTGTGTAACTAAACATTTCTGTGAAATCACACATTTATTCTCACCCAGGTTTGCAGTCACTTTTTCAAACTGGCTGAGGGTAGCTGTAGCATTTTCAGTGAGAAAAGTCTCATCCTCTGCAGTCAGCTGTCAGATGAGCCAGAAACAAAAATAATGGACCTTTAATTTATGTTTACAATGTTACAGTTCCTTCTGAAGAAGGCATTTGGCCTGTTGTAGTCACTAGTCTGTCAGCTTTGTGACACCTAAAATAAGATAGTACAGCTTTAAGGGCTCATGGGAACTTATGAGCACAAGCTACTGAATCACATACATGAAAAAACATCATATGTCACATGCTGTATCAGTTCGTCACCTTCTCTCCCAGTTTTCGCAAGGCTGTGAGGATTTCCATTTTCTGCTGCGTGTACACGTCCCGCGACAGTTTCCCCACCATGACATCTCGGTCCATCTGCGCAGAATGTCACACACCATTTTTCACGCCAAGCAATGTACAGATAAACACTAAGGAATGGTTAAATTAAATATACAGTACTGCATTGAACAAAAACAAAAATCACGTCTTTGACAATGCAGTTCAAACCTCTGCTAGTCTGGTTCTCAGCTGTCCCGGCTGCTTCTTAGCAAAAAGGCGGATCACCTCTGGGGTTTTGAATGCCTGGCTGATGGCAGCCTGAATTGCCTGATGAAGACAGACATCAAAAAAGAATTCAGACTACTCTTTACACCAGATTATTGTAAGATATGTTTTGAATAAGCTATAACCTCTTTAAGTCACCTTTAATACACAGTAGTAGTAAGACATTACTCTTTAATTGTCCATACCAGCTGCATTCCACTGAGTTCATCCACAAGTGTCATGTCTCCTGTCATGATCTTCTTCAGAGAGTCATTGAATTCACTCAGCTGTTCCAAGGTTTCCTTTTTTGTCTCTTCATACTCTTCCTCATCCAGTTCTTCTCTGGAATAAACAAAGAACGAATGATAAACTTAGAATAACTCATGAAAATAGATTATTTCGCATAGATATGTTCATTCGTTGCCAGCTAACGTTATAACATGCTAAATTTTCCCAATCAGTTAGGAGACTCTACACCTGTAGATTTCTCTATACTACACCTGCATTCCTCCAGATCCTGAAGCTGCTGCATCAATCTGTCAAGTTGCTCTTCCATATTTTGCCTCAGTTTTCCAGTTTCTGATTTCCCACGAGAAGCCATCCTTACTTAAATATTTCCAGTCTAAGGAGAAATAAGGTAGGAATCAGACATGTCTAACCATTATTTTTTTTCCAGTAACCTATAACAATAACAACCTAGCATGCTATCTCTGGCTTCTCTTAAATACTGTAACAACGAATGACGTTGTTGGAGCTACCATTACAACAAAACATCTGACTAGACACCTGCTTCGTTGCCAAAATGTGGATGAATCTATTCGCTGGAAACTCAGACCGTGCTATGTAACAGCTGATTTAAATTGTTTAACCTTAGTTAGCTTAATAGCTAGCAAGCATGCTAGAAGAAAACATCTCACCGGGACTGTTAAACTGTTTCAAATCAGTCGTGCGATAAGTTGAAAGTATGCATGAGCTTTACGAATAGGGCATAAAATCTTCTGAATCAGTGAACTGGAATTGAGCAAACAATTACTTTTAAATAAGGTTACAAAATATTTCGTGTTTGCCGAGGCGATTATTCGGGGACTTGTGATTTTGAACGTATCTTGCGCGTGTGGGTGCGGCTACCGTCGTCCTCCGCGATTCTAACCAATCAGATTTCCTGTTCTATCGTCATAACGACTGTACAGGAAGTAGGTGACACATTGCACAGCAGCTGTTTGCCGTTCTTCTCCCTGGTATTATAATGAACATTTACATTATTTTGCCCTTTAGTAGATGATGTTTCCTTTGTTGTCTAAGCTCAGCTTTGAGTTCATGTTTTGTACGTTCATATTAGCAGTAACGTCAGCCTCGTGTTGACGGGTTATAAAGCTAATGTTCGCTATGGCCTATAATTTGACGGCACTAACATACCATACAGTTAGTTTTCATTTTCTTAATGTTGGTAATCCCATAACAGATTCGTGCTGGTATAGTGGATACAGAGCCTGTCTCAAAGGACAGGGAACCAGAGGGATTTGTACCTCAAACAACGACTAACTACAGTGTTTTTGTTTTGCTCACGACCTGTATGTCTGTTGCTGTAGTGTAAACCCAGCTCCGGTATGAAGTATGGAGGGCCAAAGTCGAACCAAAGTGGTCCTGCTGGCCTGTGGGTCCTTCAACCCCGTCACCAACATGCACCTGAGGATGTTTGAGCTGGCGCGAGATCATCTGGAAGACACAGGTTGAATGAAATGGAAATTACATCTCGTATAATGGTGCTTCTTTTCTTTTTTAAAATATGTTGTCCACCAAATGTGCACAACAACATTCTCACTCACCTCTAGTGATATCTATATGCTGATAGTTTGGATTTTACCAGCCCAGGTTTGGATATATTAATCTCAGATTTTGCACTAAACCTGAGCCATGCACAGGCCTGAATTCTGAGTTTAAAGTCAGAATTCAGGAAAAAAAAAAACGTTTGAACTGAAAGTATTTTTTTACCGTGGCCCTAATCCTCTTCTGTAGGATTCCGTTCTTTGTCTAAACAGTAGCTATATCTGTCAAACAAGTGAAGAGTTTCCATAATTCCCTTTGAAACATAGTAGCAGAAGTTTAAACTAAGCATAAAATTTAGATACTCAAGTATTTATATGTTACACAAGTACTGTGCTTGAATAATATGCCATTATATTACACCACTGCTAGGTTCCACTGGAGGTAATAAAATCTGTTGAGCTGTGAATTTAAGTGAACCAAGCCTTTAAAATGATTCTTTTAAATTCATCATGAGTTTAGTCGTGTGTATACTGTGTGCCAAAAAACTGGCATCACATTCCCAGTTTGCTGTTTATCAGTTAACTACATTTAGTGTGCTATTGTTCTAGATCACCTGTTTAATCACACTTGTTCCTTTGTGTCTCAGGTCAGTACAGGGTGGTGAAAGGCATAATCTCTCCAGTGGGGGATGGCTATAAGAAGAAGGGTTTGATAGAGGCCTGCCATCGTCTGGAGATGGCCAGATTGGCCACAGAGAACTCAGACTGGATCATAGTAGATTCCTGGGAGAGCTTACAGCCTGAGTGGGTGGAGACAAATAAAGTTGTTAGGTAATTTGGCAGTTCTTATGTCTAATGGCGGGGTCTGTCTTTGCTGCAGGCTATGCTAGTTGTCTGTTTTGAGTTATTATAGGTGTAAGGACATCTTCCTTAAGAATCTGAGACACATGTTAGAACTTTGCATAATGTTAGTTTCCTTGCTTGCAGTTTTGTTTTCCTTTCTTTCTTCTTTGTCAGCTGCCCATTAATCATATCTCAACAGCAGTAGGTTGTCATGACTGTTAGACTAATTACTTACAAGCACAAAAAGTTAAGATTTTATGTGGTCCTGAAGTACAAGTGATTAATGGTGGCATGATGGCACAAATGTAAACAAGTGGTAGTGTGTGTGTCCTATTGATTTTATCTGAACTATCTAGGCATGAACAAACTCTCTTGTCTTAAGTCATCTGTCAGATGTTGACACAACTGAGCTTTCTACCACAATGTGACAAGAGTGTTCTAGGTTTAAAAACAAATGCACTCTATATAGTAAAAAAATTGGACAGCCTCCAGTTTTTAGAAACTTCACTGCATAAATAAATTTCAAAAGGACGTCACCATTTAACATTTTTTTCTTTCAGTTGTATTTCATCTCAGTGTCTTATTGCTACTATAAAGAAAACTTCATTTGAAAGCAAAATGACTTGACTGTTAGGGGCTGGGCAAGGTGTGTTATTATGAATCATTAACTGTTGCCCTGAACCTTGTCATCTAAACAAGACCAGTCAGACTAACAGGCTGAAAGCATAATTGGCAAAGACACACAGTGCTAATCACCTGTAACAAATACGAACATGCTGATGCACAAGGCAAGCTACAAATAACAAAATGCAAGTTGTAAAAAATGGGAAACAAAATTAAAGCCAATATGACTAATATTTGCTGTATGGGAAACTATGCAATGCAGTTAGCCCTACATACCCTGCACCCACTTTGATTTGTGATATGTCAAAAAACACTTAAACTTTTTATGCTCCATTCATTTTGTCTGTCCACTTAGGCATCACTATGATGAACTTGCAGCAGAGCAGAACGACGACGATGTGGACACAGTGAAGTACTCAAAAAAGAGACGCATAAATAAACAAGTTTATTGTTTTGAAGGTTCATCTCATCAGAAAAGGAGAGGTAGGTCATGTGCAGCTATGCACAGTTTTCAACTTAAGTAATATTGCTTTCAGCCTTCGTTTGACCTCCTCCCATTTCCAGTCCCTGATTCCAGACAAGCAACAAGTCTCATCCTGCTTCCATTGTATTCATGGTTCACTGTATTCGGCTTAATGGGAGACAATGGTTTAAAGGTGTGGTGTTGTGTCATGGGTGTCACCCTATCACACCACCTACAGTAAAGTCAGGCATGGTATACGAGATGAGCCTCCATATGTCCTGTCTTCTAGTGACAACAATTTTTAGCTGTGTGATTCTCTAGCATGTAGGTGCACTGCGTAGGATTTAACAGTGTACACAAGCAGGAGCAGCACATGATGTGTTATGTAGTCATATGCCATGCAATAAGTTAATAACACCTAACTATTATTGACACTTAATTATAGCTCAGATGATTAGTCCGTCATCTCAAGTTACAGAAAAATAATCAACTTTTTTTGATAATCGATTAATTGTGTCAGTGACTTTGAATAAAACATTAAAAAAAAAAAACATTCTCTAGTTCCAGCCTCTCTCACGAGGGGATTTGCTGCTTTTCTTTGTTGTATGTGATTGTAAATGAAACAACCCTCTGGCTCTGGATTACTCATCAAATAAAACAAGACATTTTAAGACACTGCCCTGGGCTCTGTGAAGGGCGATGTGCAAGCGTTCATTTATTATTATTATTTTGTCATTTTAGAGAGACTGAAAGAATTGATCATATTAATTGATAATGAAAATAATTATCAGTTGTAATCCTACACATAATTACAGGATGCATAGCCCCGATTGCTTAAATCACAGTGTTATTTTCCAAGGCATTGTCTGATGACAGAGAGCAGTGACCTCCATTATAACTAAGCGGCCTTTGTCTGCAATGTCTTTTAAATCTCTTGTTAAATCATTCTGTAAGACAGCTTTCATAAATCTTTCTCATAATTTTATATTCTCCTCTCCTTTAACTTAAATTTTGAATCTGCTTTTCTCAGTTGCTATTTTCTTGTCTTTTAAATAACTTTATACCTTTATTAAGAAAACTACATCCAAAGCTGTGATGAGCTGTTTCTCTACTTTCAGGCTGCCCTCAGCTGATGTTGCTGTGTGGGGCTGATGTCCTGGAGTCCTTTGGGCAACCCAATCTGTGGAAGCAGGAGGATATCAATGAAATTGTGAGCTTCTACGGTTTGGTGTGTGTCACCCGCAGTGGCAGTGACCCACACAAGTTCATCCAACAGTCAGACACGCTGTGGAAGTATCGCAGGAACATTCACATTGTGCATGAGTGGGTGACCAACGAGATCTCAGCCACTCACGTGCGCCGGGCCCTTCGCAGAAGTCAGAGCGTCAGGTACCTGCTGCCAGACACTGTGGTTGACTACATAAAAGTGCACCACCTTTACACTGCTGAGAGTGAGCAGAAAAATGCTGATGTGGTTCTGGCACCCCTTCAGAGATACACAGGTGCATCATCAAGCTGAGGAGGTGATGGGGTGGGGTTGTGAATTAAAAACAAATCAGACACATTTTAAAAACTAGAATTAAGCTTTCACCAGTGCCTAAAATAGTTGCACAATAATCTTTTATTATTGTGTATTTTTTTTAAGAAGACACTGTAGATCTTCATTGACTATTGCTGTAGTGTGTGTGTGTGTGTGGGGGGGGGGAATACTTGAGTCAAACACAGAACAACTGAGTAGCGGTCACATAAATGAAATATACACTAAATGTGGTGTGTGTTTATTGAACCGGGGATTCACCATTTTATGTGAAACGGTATAAATTACATTTGGGATTGCATAAAATATGATCACGAACAAGTTACTTCATCTTTTTTCAACACGGTTTCCTACTTCGATAAACTCTCAACTCGTGTGTGGAGCTAGAACAGGATTTTGTAATGGACTGCAGATTTGAAAATGAAGGTGTGATTTGTACTTATTTGAAATGAAATAAACAACTTTTTTTGTTTTCTGTCTCACAAGCCTTTCACTGTGATGCCATTGTCACACAGATAAACTCCTAACATCAGGTAAACTAAGCACCTACCTTTGGGGGTGGGGTCATCATCACTGGCAAGATAAGAGCTGAAATAACACATTGTAGCCAATTTAAAGCTACAACATGCAACTTAACGTAGCACTAGTATGAAACTCCAAATCAGTCCACTGATGAGCAGTAACACAAATCTAAGGCACTTTAAAGCAGCAGGTGAATGAAGCAAATAAAAATACAGCAGGAACACAATATAATGCAGAGGGTGTGCAATTATGCACTCTGGTACAATATAACGAAACTGGGTTAAGACTGTAGTTGATTCTCTTTACATCACTAAATCATGCTTACCCTATTAAACAGTTTTTATCAAGTTGCAGGTTTTTGTGCATAACAAAGCACAATTGATATACAGTACATGTAGCTTACCTATAGTCACAAGCATAAAAACTACTTTAATGTTGGGACAAGCCCTGTTTGTTTTGCTTTCTTTCATGCTGGAGCTGCATACCAGAGTAACTACCAATGCCACTTTTTTCTCTTTCCCACACTACTGGAAGGTGTGCAATGTCTTTATGAAAACAGCAGGTGTTTGACTCCAGTTTGCTTTGAATCCAGAAAGATGCTTATCACATAGTTAGGATTTGCACAATTGGAAAATGTTACTTATCCTAAATAGATATCACTGATATCAGTACCCTCAGCAAATCAATCCACTCTCTCTTGAAATGTCACAGTATAAAGCAAGAAAAGACCAAACAGGATCTTAAGACTTCCTCCAAATCTTAAAGTCACTGTGATTTTTCTTTTCCTTGTGGTTGTGCGCATAACTCATGTGTGACACCTGTGGCAACATTTGAAGAGTAGATTATTTAGTGGACTGCGCAGTGGGACCAGTCAGACACGTTCCTTTCGACACCCTGGCGCTGCTGTGAGCACCTCCCTCATCCACGCTTACACCCCAGGTGACAGCAAATGAGGTAAAGGCAGTCCTGTTTTTACAACCCCAAGTCGCTCACAAACCAGCATTGTCTCAGCCACATTTCAGAACACCTCATCAGCCCAGTTTGAATTTGAGAATCACATTTTATAAAAAAAAAGAAAGATGCCAGCCAGTCTCTGTGGCACATGGGACATGATCAGCAATGTCAACTTACAGGGCTACATGATCGCACTAGGTAAGTTTTTAAAGCATTTGCTGTAGTTCAAATATATTCTCTGATATGAAATCTATTTAAACATTGGCGATATGGGCATTTGTAGCTGTCAAAATGTAGTTGTGCTGCAAAATGCATGCAGCTATTGCATTATATAACATACAACAGACACTGGCAGTGAAATGTGTTGTCACTGTGTGGGAAACCTGCCACACGGATATGGTGTTGTATCAGTGCTATTTTTGGTATGTATGAGAATATATTAGGCAGAGAATGTGCTGGTAGTCTACTGTCTAGATTTGTATTATATTGCATATTCAGGCAAAATACCGTGCCTGGTCACATTAATAATCACGCCTGTATATTTGTATGCAGTTTATGGCAACACTTCCACCTTAACATCTGTGTTTATGAAGCTCAAAATGTTTCGGTTATTGGTGAAATTGTTCAAAATTTATAAATTAAATTCTATGTTTATTATTGAGGTCATTGTTAAAGACGTTGTTGTACTGGGCTACATTATATTCAGAGGTGTTCCTAATAGTCTGACCCTCTCATGTATGTATCTGGAGAGGACAAAATTATAGCAACACCTGTACTCTGTACAGTAAACATAAATACCTTTTCAGGAATAAGCCCTCACTTACGAAACATTGCCCTAAAGCTGAAGATGAAGAAGGTGATTGAGCAGAGGGGGGACCAGTTCATCATCAAAACCACCAGCACCTTCAGAAACTATACCGTCTCATTCAGAGTGGGTCAGGAGTTTGAGGAGTTTACTCGGGGACTGGACAACAAAAATGTCAAGGTGGGTATGAATGACAGGATTGTGTGTCTAACGTGATAATATACAATTGATGCGTGTTTTGTAGAGCATGTGAAGTTTATTTTGGCACTTATAAAACTGTTCTGCATTGCGATTTACACTCTCTCATCCTCTTTGCCATCTGTGCAGTCACTGGTGAAATGGAAGGGGAATAAAATGGTGTGTGAACAGACGGGAGAGAAGAAGGACCGGGGCTGGGCTCACTGGATTGAAGATGACAAGCTGCATCTAGTAAGAATATGAATATTTAATCATATTTGCTCCACATAAAGAACAAAACTAAATGGATTAACTTTCCCACTTGTATGTTCTTGTGCTGTTTAAAGACATCGTACTTACTTCATATGTCTGTGACCTATTACCCACAGGAGCTGTACTGTGAAGGAGAAATTTGTAATCAGGTTTTTAAGAAGAAAGTGAAACAGTGAAGAAGAATAAAAGCTGTGTTTCTGGAGATGGTGCTCTTAGATGAAAGACATGATGTGTTGATACGTGACTCTAATCTCTGAATAACAAAATCACACAATGTTCAGTCTGTGGTATTTTCTGGGTAAAGTAACGCTCAGTTGATAGAAAAATGTCTTTCCTGCAATGGTATGGATTTACACCACTAGATGGCACCACTTCATTACTTTTGACAGATATTGACTGCAGTGCTCTGTAACTTAATGGCTTGGCATTGTAAACATCAAGCATGTTCAACTGGCTGAAAACAACTTGTTATACAGGTTCTGTTTAGTAGCAACCTTTTCCTTCCTCATATAAGACAAATTTGAGATCCCAAACCTTTGAAATTGGTTGAGCTAGTTGTAAATATACCACCTTTCTTTATAATCTAAATCCATGTATATCCAAGCCATACAGTAAAACAGAATAAGTGTAGGATATTTGGAATACAGTTTTAAGCCAATTTAATATGATACGTTTTTTTTTAAATGTCTTACATGACATATTTTGTTTAATGACAATGTATGTAATAAAATTAGTTTTTAAAGAAATCTGAAATTGTATCTTTTATTTTTGTCATTCTAGGTTATATTTAGCAAAAATCTATCTATCTATCTATCTATCTATCTATCTATCTTTTTCTCATACATTGATCTGGCTCATGTTTTCATGAATTCCAAAGAAGATGGCGTAAAAACTGTGATATAATAAAATGGGACTCATATGTAATTCTAGAGAAATGCCTTTACTGTTTATGCACGTTGGGTTTAATAAACAGCTACAGGGTATAATGTCTACTTTTTAAGGGAGAAGGGAAAACATCAGCTAGTAGGTAACGGTAGTGAAGCCATTAGTAGTACAAACCATTAGACTGGCTGATTAACTATGAGATAGTACAATATAGTGAAGGGTCGCACATCTCCTGTAGGTTCTTCAGTCACGTGACAGTATGTAGAACCAAAATGGCCGTTGTTGTATTTTGACGTATAATAGCTAGCTACTTTTCTTTTTGTTTCATTCTTGGTAGAAAACTAGCAAACGAGAGACTTTTTGGTGGAAGTGTATCTCGCCACTCTCCGTATACTGGTGTCGTAGTTTTTATTTGGAAGACAATCAAGACTGACACATTTGTTGAACGAGTTAGACTATGCATAGTTAGTTCTAATACAGGCTAGCTAGCTGGCTCTGGCTGGCACACATTTAAAGCAGTTCAAAGTGAAATAGCTATCTAACTTAGCTGCGATGGAGGAATTGACCGCAGATGAGGTAAGGTGACAGTAGCAAAAAATCTCAAAATTAGTGCTGAGAATCAACGTAACTCAATATTACTAATATTAAAATTCAGATCTACGTTTATGAATTATCTACTCGCCTTCGGACTTCAAGTCAAATTGACTTGATATTAGCCGACTTGCTACTAAAGCTAGCTCAGAGGTTAGCATGGTCTAAATAAAAGAAATGTATCTATAAATCACACGTTCAGTTTATCACCACCATATGCATGCACGTATTAGCCAACACGACCCATGGGGTGTTTATTTTACGACAGATACTTAATATAATAAAGTGAACGAACTAGAAGTTGCATGTAGATGTTTATGCTACCGTTGCCAGTACAGTAGCGTTAACTCGATTTACCGGAGCTCAATGCTACCTAGCTAACGTAATACTAGAGGCTGTGCATAAGGTGGCCCGTCGGTAACATTGTTTTCATAAAAAAAAAACCAAACTTATAGATACATAGAAATCATTTTCATCTGGCAGATGTTTTCTTCGCGTTATTTTTTGAAAAATAACAATATAAATTGCTTCCCGAATTGATTTGGCATATCTTCTTGCAGGTAAGCTAGCTGACAGTAGCTAACAGCCAAAAATTAGCCTGCGAGACGACTCAGCATAAAAAAAAAAACACACCGGCCACCATTGTACAATCATCTCGATCCCGATTGTGTGTTCACTGAGGTGATACCTGAACTACACACAACATTTTATTAAGAATCTATTTTTATTATCTCCTTGTTCCCGTATTTAGCTATTAGATCAACTCGCAAACTAGTGTGCTGTTGCTTTAGTTGAGCTCTCGGCTGAGTTGTTATGAGAAGTGCTTATATCTCACTTTGTTCGTACATTGTATCTATTCTTTAAGGCCCGTCTCCTTAAATTTGAGATCAGGTTCTCAAAATTATTTAAAGGTGTACCTTTTATTTAGGAGCTAATTATCAGATATTGAACCTGAATCACCTCGTAGTTCGTATTTTGCCAAAGTGGTTGTTAATTTACCGGCGCTTTAAAAAAAACATGGCAAATCATCAACTTTTCAGTGTACATCTCCGTTCTGAATGCAATGCAAGTCCAAATTATGTAGAATGAGAATGTAATGAGTATGTAATCTGCTGGTATATTCATTCAAGATTCGCAGAAGGCGACTGGCGCGACTGGCAGGGGGACAGACATCACGGCCAAGCACCCCTCTCAGCACACCCTTAACATCCCCACAGAGAGAGACTCCACCTGGACCGCTCCCTGGACCCTCAGGTGCCGCACCCCAGCCCCTGCCACCAGCTGCCTCTCAATCACTGGGGCTCAGTGTCCACAGTGGTACCCCTGCGACTTCCCCTATGGGCACCTCTGGTAAAGACTGATTAGGATTGAAAGGTTTTGAGGTATATTTATTCCGATGTGCATGGTGCAGGGAGGATGCAGACTGACCAAAAACTTTGGCTTGTGCTCTGGAGGCATGCTCACAGTTGTTCATTGTGGCTGGTTGACATTTAAACTGACATGAAGCAAGAGTTTAGTGAACATTCACTACATTTTACAGCTTTCTTTTGGCTTCTGGAGGCAGTTAATCACCATTAGTCACCATCCTCCTTATTCTTATTATGAATATTAAGGGGTACAATTTTTTTTATTTTATTTTATTGGGGTTTAGTTGCAGCCCCCTCTCCCCTGTGATGATTATGAGCTTGATTGTTTGTTGTTGATCATTGTTAATCTCTTACATGATCTTTACTCTAATCCTGTGATCCTGCTCAACTTGTCCTATATGTCTCTGTGGCTTAGAAGATGAACAGCTTTGGTTTTGTGACACTGCACAACACTTGGAGCCAGTAATACGTATGTCCTGAATGACATCAACACAAACAGGCGCAGCTTGCTGTGATCATAGTGTCCCTGTTTGACACCAAGGTTAACACCTGCTGTACAAAGTGGGAGTTGATCCTTTCACCTATTCACTGCTCTTTTAGAAAGTACACTGGTGAGCCTTGTATAGATACAGTGGCAATTTCCTGCCATCGTTTATAGATATGCATAGATGTGTGTTATATTGTTATACAAGGCTACTTTTAAGGGCCAGTAGTACTTTTAATATTTGGTTAAGATTTGGTGGCAGTTCCACAACCATTCTTTACATCTTAATGTATTTGTTATGAATTTTTTTCTTGACACAACCAAGGTGCAGAGTGTTTTAACTTAACAGTTTTTATTAACATGATTGTTGTGCATCCAGGAGAGAGTTGTGCATTCCAGCCCTTAATCCACAGTATGATCCTGAATGTTAATCAGCTTTCTATGTGCTTGCAGTAACCAAAGCTTATAATGATGTGGCACACTATGTTGATCTTAAAAACACCAATCTGAACCTTTGCTAACCCAGATTGGCTAAAAAAAATAGGTTTGTCCCAAAACAGCAACAGCATCATAGCAGGATAATTATACAAAAAACAGGAAAGACATGATATTAAGATACAAGATTACATAATAAACCAGAACATAATAAGCCACATCATTTTTAGAACACACTTAAAATAAGTTGTTGTCGTTGTGAACCTTACAACTTTTTTGACTAGTTTACACTAACTGAAGAAGAAAAAACAGAGAAGTAAGCACTTATGATCTAAATTGAAGCCAGGCTCATAACCTAACTGTTCCAGAATCAATAATAAAAATACTCATTTCACACTTAAACCAAACTATTATGTGTCACATTAGATTTTTTTGATGTTTTGTTCATGCAGGGGTGGCATATGGGAGTCAGAGCAGTGAAGGTGTGAGCTCCCTTTCCAGTTCCCCCTCCAACAGCCTTGAGACGCAGTCCCAGAGTTTGTCCCGATCGCAGAGTATGGACATTGACACTGCCTCCTGTGAAAAGAGGTATGAGTTTTCTAAAAGGTGTGTGTGTGTAAGTCCTAGGAAGTGACTCTTTTAATATGGTGCTCTGTTTAAAAAGTATTTTTTTTGTCAGAGAGATCAGAGGCTATGGTCTGCTATAGTTACAGTACTTTGTAATTGTGGTATGTTTCATATTTCACACCAGAAAGAATTTTTTATGAAAACTTTTCATAAACTGACCACATTAATACAATTGATATACCAGGTTGTATCTGTCTAAAGGTGTAACAATATTTAAAATTGACTTGTTCCTTTTGAAGGAAAGGAGGAAGTCAGTTATAGTATTTCACAACAAGGCCTGGTAATTGCGTTTGTTGAAATAGAAATAAGACGCTTCATGTGGGCTATTGAGTTTGCAGTGTTGGCATGGTTTGTTTAGGATGAACAGACTTACAAAGCATTGTGCTTTTCTCTGTTTTATTCCAGCATGTCCCAGGTGGATGTGGACTCAGGGATAGAGAACATGGAGGTGGAAGACAGTGATCGTAGGGAGAAGAGGAACTTGACTGATAAGGTAAACAGCAACAGAGACTATTACTCAAAAGTGTTAATTTCTTGGACTGCTTGATTTTGATCATGTCTGTCTTAAGATGTATAAATAAATATAAAAGGAGTCTTTACAATGGTATTTACAAGGAAGGAATAGGGGACTTTCCTAAGATGTGATTCTTGGTTTCATTTTCATTTTTTCAGTTCATTGTTAACCTGTCTCTTGACAGACCAGAGTAATCATGAGATGATGTTTGTCATGAGAATCAGTCTATTAAACATTTACTCTGTAAATGGCTCTAGACTGTGCTCAAACCTATGCTGTTGTCTCTCTATTTTCTGCATCCCAGGAAACCTCTGCAAACTCAGATGTCTCTGAAGAACAGGCTCTGCAGCTCATTTGTAAGATCCTCCGCGTATCGTGGAAGGAGCAGGATAGAGATGTCATCTTTCTCCCTTCACTAGCTGCAGAGTTCCACCAGAACCCTAAAGATGGTATGTTGCTGAATAGTGTCTCTATCTTTGTCACAGTGACAAGCTGATTGACTATGATGATTTACAGTGCTTTGTTTTTTTTTTCTCCTCTTGTGTAGTATACTCTGACTTCAAAGACCTGATCAGCCAGATTCTGGTGGAAGTTTTAATGATGTCTACCCAATCACGTGTTAACAACCCCTTTGCTAGCTTGACTGCCACCTCTCAGCCAATTGCAGCTGCCAAGTCTCCTGACCATCGTTTGGCGCTGGTACAGCCCTCCAGCCAAGTTGGCAGCCCCATGGGCCCCAGCGCAGGGTCCTTTGGAGCCAGCTCTTTGTCCAGGTAAGCAGCTCAAGTCAGTATCACAAGCTCTGAGAACTACCTGTGGATTGACTGTCATCTACACTCCTCAAGAGGTCTTTATTGACATTTAGTTGGTATCATTCCGATTTTGCTTTGGTCATTTCTGTTTTTTAAGGACATTTTTGCCAATGATCATCTTAACAATGTTGTCCACAGTCTCTATGGGTGTGGTAGTCCTCAATTGATGGCTTTGGATGCAGCCAAGAAGACTTCTTCATCTCTCCCCACCCCTACTACACCCTCTGAATCTTCTATACCCTCAACCCCACAATTCATTGTTCCCCCCAGCCCACCTGCTACTGCTGCTCCGAGACACTCCCTCAATACTGTGTCTGCTCCTATGCCCATCTCCCAGCGCTATCGGCCTTACTTGCTCACCTCTCCTTTGGGGGCTTCTTCCCCATCTAGCCCAGGTCACAGAGAATCTAGTTTCCTTGGGCCCTCTCCCAGCCCTGCATGGCCCTATGTTCCTCCCAACACCCCAGTTTCGGTACCATCACCCAGCCCCCAGTCCTCATTGAGCTCACACAGGGCTCGTAACCAACCATCCCACACACCTCCTCCTATGGTACCCCCTTCTCCCAGGTCAAATAGCCAACCGATGGCCTTTGGTGCCAGGATTCCACCATCTAGGTATCTCATCTGCCGTTTTTGTGTCAGTGTGTGGTGCACATGCAAGCCAGCATACTAAAAAATTTTTGTGAATCACCAATTGTTTCAACTAAATCTTTGGCCAGATTTTGTTGAATACGTTGCTTCTTATTGCACGTTTAATGCTCCTTATGATATTAGCTGTGTAAGACTTGGACTGCTAGGCTTAAAAGTCAGTGAACAGCCTGCTGGGTTTAAAGTTTGAAGAAATGGACAATTCCAGTAACAATTAAAAAAAAAAAAATAAAAAAGTATATATGTTGTGTGTTCAGTCAACTATAACCAGTTTTTTGCTACTTGCTTTGCGGTAATAGGGCTGCTTGTTTCTAACGTATTTCAAATGATCTAACCCTTTTGCAAAGAGCTAACACTAGATATATCTTAAACCCGTTTAACAGATCCTATATTGCTCTTTGCATTGGCTTGTACACAAGTTGTATGACTAAATGTGACACTTGGTTCAGTTATCAGTTAAAAAAAAAAGTTCTGACAGGGTGTAGAAGCTACAGCCCAAATGGACACAATGCACAACATCCTCTTTCGATCTTTCCCTCACTCCTCATGTCTTTTCCTTGTCATGTTAGCCCCTTGTCGCTCCTGTTCTTTGCCCTCTCTGACATGTCTCAGAACTGCAGTGATGAAGAATCTGAGGAAGAGGAGGATTTTGCACGGGTTCAGTTTGGGTCCAGGTACACCGATGCACGGTGTGTGTTAATGTGTGTGCACGCTTGCTCAGTGGTGGGTCAAGGAAACGTAAGACTAACGGTACAGAAACACATCATGGTAGAGTGGTGAAAGTTAACTGACGGGAGATTAGCCATCTTCGAGCGCTTCAACTGTGTACTGTAGGTCATTGAAGGTTTAGCCAGTAACTGTATCTTCTGTGAGATGATGTGGTGGTAAGTATGAACTATAGCCTCAGTGGATGTAGAGTAGTAGTAAATGTGCTTCTAACAGGTGCAGGATAAAGAAATTGTTCCGTATTTTTTAAGACAGATTTTGCAATTACAGCTGACCACTAACAGCCATTTAAACTCATCCTGCCATATTTGTTATTTGAAAAATGGCAAGTCTAATCCTAATATTGTCATCAAAGGCTTGGTGAAAACAGCTTTTTAATATTATCTTTACTCCTTTTTTTTTTTTTCAAGACGCCAGTACTGAGATTCTACAATGCTCTCACTAATATCTTAGTTTGTTTCTTTCAGGACTCCTTGAAAGCGCAAGTTTGAACTTGCTAACCATACATACATGATCATGTGTGATGTTAAAGGTACATCTTTCTGTGATGTTTTTCTGGTTACTTAAGGAGCCCCTTCTTTGTCTTTGTTTATCTTCCTGTTTATAGTCTTGGTGCATGTGGAGGGGGGATGTCCTGCGATTCAGCCAGTGACCGCTTCACCATTGAAACATGTAAAGAGACAGAGATGCTGAACTACCTCATTGAGCGTTTTGACAGTGTTGGCATGGAGGAAAGAAAAGCTCCTAAGGTAGCTGGCTGTCTGCAATGCAAAGAAATGTCCCAACCAGGTTTTTTTCAAACGATTTAGACCAAAATTGTAATTTCCTTTTACTAAAGAAGAAAACCTATTTAGAGGTTCAGTCAAAACTCAGTTTCCAGTTAACACTTTCCATTGCCCAAATCATTCTTTTGACAGTTGTCAACTGAAAAGCTTATTCTCCACTTCAGAATTGGGTACAAATGTTCTGAGGACAGAAGAACAGTCTGTACTTTGGAGAATAGCTGCAGGGCCAGTTGGTCTAGAAATGAGCCGAGGTTTTGCACTAACTATGATTCAACAGTCTGGAGAGAGCTTCTGTGAAATTCACAGCATACATTTTTATCACACCTCTAACCATTTTTCTCTCTCCTCTCTCCTGTTTCTCTCTCAGATGTGTAGCCAACCAAATGTCAGCCAGCTTCTCAGCAACATTCGCTCTCAGTGTATATCCCATGTTGCCCTAGTCCTGCAAGGCACCTTGACCCAGCCTCGGTAAACAGACCAGCAGCACACTGTGACAATTTTTGTATCTATCTGTTGTTACATTTGTTTACATTCTAGTACTTTTCCTTTCTGAAGCCCCTTTTAGACATGCAGTGGGATCCTGAAATTCTCTAGATATTACCCAGAGGAGCTGGGTCCCCCACCCTCGCATAAAACAGAGTATTTGCAGTAGGTGTGAATACACCTGACACGGACTATCTCCTGTTGTGTGCTACATGTGTGGAAGGGCAACTCTGGACAAAGTTGAAAAATGATTCTGTAGACGTTGTCCAGACTTCATATGTCAGACCTGAGTCTCCATAGCTACTACTACCTATCACCACTTCTCAAGACACATTATTTATTTTCACCACACTGCTTCTGTCTGTTTTTTACATGTAGGAGTCCCCTCCATCAGTCTCTGCTGGTACCTTATATGCTGTGTCGGAACCTTCCATACGGCTTTATCCAGGAGCTGGTGCGCATTACCCACCAGGAGGAAGAAGTATTCAGACAGGTGGGATGCACATTTGGCTGTGTTTGATGCATGTTAATGGTTATTCAGGGTCACTTTTCTTGGTTGAAATGTATCACAGCATAGAGTGCAACAAGAACACACCCCACCCAAACTCATTCACATGCACTATGGCACTACAGTGTACTGATGCTTATTTTGATTTAAGAAAAGTAAATCTGCCTTGAGAGGTAAAAAATAAACTTGCGCAGTAGCAGTTCACTGTGACTACGTACAGAATGTGAAGGCCATTTTCACCAGAGGAACTTACCCTCGGGAGCAAGGACCTTTTTTGGAACATAGTTTCCCTACCCCTGTTTCCACCAGAGGAGTCAGCATCTAAATGGAGTTCTGGGGAGTAGCTATACCCCTGAAAAAACTACCTAATGGGGGTGCAAACATGGTGCAGGCATTTAGCATTTCACTCGTGTGCCAATGTGAAAAATGATTTAGATGCAACTGACTCTGAATTTCTTGGGGTTTAAGTTTGTAAGGAGCATTTTTTTCACTACATGAAGAGACCAGTGAGTGGGATTAGTTGATTTGAAAATATGGTTTTGGTGTTTGCGAAGCTGTTCTTCCGACCTGAGAGTGGAGCTCAACTTCTCCACACATGGAGCGCAGCAGGCAGAGGCTGTGGGGAAGAGCATGACATTGGCTTAAAAGTGGTTACTCGGAGTTAACACCCTGTGCTCATTACTGTATGTGCCATTAAACCTTGCAGAAAAGCCATTGTCTCAGCTCTGCCTGCAGTCTGTCCTCCACTGCTGATGTGTGTTAACCATAGCATTTTACATTCAGCATTTTTACAACCCCGCTGCAGACTGTCCTGCTTTTACAGTATGTCACCGAGATAATTTGTTTTATCTTCCCCAAGCTTTGGCCCTGCTGTGGAACTGCGAGTCACAGTGCGCTCAAGGAACTTTTACCCCGTGGACAGTTTTTGGACTGTAGTTCCTGTGAATAAAAAGTACCAGGGACTTTCTCGTAGGAACACGTCTTAATTGGTAGACTGGCAAAGTTAATGCACAACTTTTTATTATTGCTGCTGTGTTTTTATCCTTCAGATCTTCATTCCCATCCTTCATGGACTGGCTCTTGCAGTAAAAGAATGTTCTTTTGACAGTGACAACTTTAAATTCCCCCTCATGGTAAGGACATGATGTTCAGACCTGACCTATGCTGTAGTACCAGGCAGGAGATGAGGCTTAATGTGGTTAAAATTACAGGGCACGTAAAGCACAGCAGGCCTTGTAAGACAGTTTGTCAGCTCAGTAGATGTTATTGGTGCATTTAAGTAATGCATTTTATTTTCATTTGAGCATTGTATGAAATGTGCTGTGGGGTACTTGTCCAAGAATATAGTTATAATTTGTTTCCTATGAATGTAACAAGTAATATTCTTTAATAATTTTGTTTGTACAGGCGTTAGCTGAGCTTTGTGAAATCAAGTTTGGAAAGACTCACCCTGTGTGCAATTTGGTGAGTATGCAGTTGGTTGGCCAAATCTACATTTTGGCACTTAAGAATTTATCATGATTTCCTCATGGCTCAAATAACATAGGCAATGTATTTGTCAAATTTAGTCACCAACTGTTTTGCAGCTCTGGCTATTGTTTTAGTTGTTTATACCTTCCTCATACCAGCAAGCCCAGCTGACATCACACAGTAATATGTTCTGCTTGCTTTATTAATGATGCTCCACAGAAAGACAAAATAGTTTGGTGCATGAAAAAGGACTAGCTTGTATTTAGCACCATGCCAGTCTTTCAAATACAAGTCCTTTGAGTTTACCTTAAGCTTACTTAGTTGTGTTTGATCTCTGTGAAGATGATGGATACATTTGTTAATATTGTAACTGCTGTGTATTTATGTCAAGAAACATTTAGACATTTAGCTTCTCTCTGTGATTAAACAGAGTGAAAAGGTAGCAAAACATTGTTTCACTTCACTGTCTAATTGTATTAAATGTTTGTGATTTGACATCACAATAACCTTGTGGACGTCTCTGTCATGGTTCCTGTGTGCAGCTAACGTCGCTGCCTCTGTGGTGTCCCAAACCTCTGAGCCCTGGCTGTGGCAGAGAGATCCAGAGACTGTCCTACCTGGGAGCTTTCTTCAGCCTCTCTGTGTTTGCTGAGGATGATGTGAGTTGTCTGTTTTGTTAAATGACTAACATTACTGCAAACTGGCTTCAGTCTAGTGTTGTTGAATGTGTTTTCGTACTGCAAGGTACTGCCAAGAGCTGAGGACTGTCTGAGAATAATGAATAGATTTACTGTAATTACACAGCAAAAATGAAAACTGCGACAGGGAAAGTAGTTTGTGACAGATCATTTTAATGTGATACTGTTTGTTTGTTTCTTGTCCTTTAGACCAAAGTAGGAGACAAGTATTTCTCTGGCCCAGCAATCACAATGGAGAACACACGAGTTGTCAGCCAGTCATTGCAGCACTACCTCGAGTCAGCGAGGGTGAGTCTCCACTTGAATGCTGTTACTTAATAGCTATTGTATCCAGTAGATGTGTTAAAATTTGATGTCATCTTTTCCAGAGTGACCTGTTCAAAATTCTCCATAATGTCCTACTAAATGGAGAGACGCGTGAGTTAGCGCTTAATTACATGGCAGCTTTAGTGAATTACAATGTGAAGAAAGCCCAGATGCAGGTGAGTCTCAAAGCTCATTCATTAAAATAGACAAATGTTGTGTGGGGTTACATGGACTTTGCACATTTAGAAAAACAGTAGTATAAAACTAGATTCACTGGCCTTATTCATTCTGAAAATTAGAAAGTTTTCTAAGAACTTGCATCACAAATATGAGTGTATGTATGCAGTTTTAATATTCTGGGCACAGTAATCTCTGAAATGGCTTTTCATTACATCTGGAAGTCAGATTTCCTGGATTCAGCTTAAAAAAAAAAAGTATGGCTTTGTTCTGTGATATACAATGGAATGTATGCAAATGTTTGGAAGGTGCTTTGGTGGGTCAACAATTTGAATGATCTTAAAATGAAATCATTTTAATTGAATTAAATATTTTTAAAATTATATACAGATTTGTCCTGTTGGTACACTAAAGAATTATGAGAGTTCAGTATATTTTTACAGCATTTGTAATTTAATTTTGAAATATGAGTACAAGACAAATAGCAGAGTATGCAAAATTATGTATATCCATTATCTCGTCTGAACTTTACAGAGAAAAATAACGTTGATTTGTCCCTGTTTGGGTTGTGTGTACAGTTTTTGAATATTAATTTCTTTCTTCCAGACTGATGACAGACTGGTGTCAACAGACGGCTTCATGCTCAACTTTGTATGGGTGCTGCAACAGCTGAGCATGAAGATCAAACTGGAGACGGTGGACCCTTATTATATTTTCCATCCACGCTGTCGACTTGTTGTCAGTGTGGAGGAGACGCGTCTAAAAGCCACTATGGAGGAGCTCAAGAGCTGGTTGACTGAACTACGTAAGCTGACAAAAATACATGGCTACATGATTGTGGGGACTTTAGTTAACAGTTTTTTGTTTAGGAAATAATGGCATGGCACATAAACCATTGCCATTTTGAACCAATCGTTTAATTGCATGAGCCATTTAGAATATTTACCAGTTCTGAAAGATTCATTAGCAGATGTGATGTTTGGTTTTCAAGTCTCAGATGAATCTTCCTAGTGCAACTGTTTTTGTATTCCTTCTGACTCTGCTTTAGTTTGAGTCTTCTGGCAGCTACACATGCTAGACTGTATGCAGTCTATGTCATACGTATGTTATGATGCTCTACCCTGAGCTTGCATAGCTAGTAAAACTGATTTTTGAATGGCAGACTGGATGTGGAACACACTGGCAGATGGGCTCTGACTGATAACCGTTATGTGTGCTTCTTTATTGGAAATAATTAATTTCATTTGTTCACATGAACAGACGAAGATCCTATGAAGTTCTCAGAACCGAAGTTCCCCACCGAGTGTTTCTTTTTGACACTGCACACCCACCATTTGTCTATCCTGCCCAGCTGCAGGCGCTACATCCGCAGATTGCGAGCCATCCGTGAACTGAACAGGTGCCATGTGCACACATACACAAAAGGTATTCAGAGCATGTTCAGTCTGTGTCTGTTAATAATGCCGTTTTCACTGGTAGGACTGTGGAAGAGCTGAAAAACAGTGAAAGCCAATGGAAAGATTCTCCCCTGGCGAGTCGACACAGAGAGATGCTGAAACGATGCAAAACACAGCTCAAGGTCAGTTTTAACATCATTCTAGATGCTTCCCAACTCTCTCCTTCATTTATTGATTATACTTTGAACATTGATTTAAAGGTAAAGATGTGCAAATATTCATCTCCTAGTTCACTGTGTTTAAACATAAGAGGAGTTGTACCCAGGACTGTGCTCACACACTTAAACATGCAGAGATATGATCCTTATCATGTGCCACTATGTCCTGTTAGAAACTTGTGCGAGCCAAAGCTTGTGCTGATGTGGGTCTTCTGGATGAGAACCTGCTCCGCAGATGTCTGCAGTTCTATAGCACAGTCATTCAGCTCATTCTGCGCATGATTGACCCTGCCTACCCTAAGTGAGTAGCCCCAACACTGATGGACAATGGCGACCTTTGTTGTGATGAAAATGTAAAAGGAACAGATGTGGCAACACAATAGGATTTTTTGCAATTTAGTATCTGTCATACTCTTTCACTTCACTTTATTGTAAATAAGGATGTTAGTGTCGTGATTACTTCTTTTTTTTTTCTCTTACACAGCATTACTCTGCCTCTGAATTCAGAGGTTCCCAAAAGCTTTGCTGCTCTCCCTGAGTTCTACATCGAAGATGTAGCCGAGTTTCTGCTTTTTGTTGTGCAGTAAGTTTGTAGTTGAATCTTGTACACTTTTGTCATTGGTCAGCTGTCTTAACAATGAATGTCTAATGAATGGGAATAATACAATAAACAAAATATATATCCAGCATGAGTTTTATATAAATTTTAAATATAATATGAGAAAATATGGCTGTGCATCAGTACTATAAATCAGTGTTGCTTCAGTGCTACTTGTTTCACCCTTCCTCTGCTTCATCTTCCTCCCACCTTCCAGGTATTCTCCCCAGGTTTTATATGAGCCTTGTGTCCAGGACATTGTCACCTTCTTGGTGGTGTTCATCTGCAGCCAAAATTACATCAGGAACCCCTACCTTATTGCCAAATTGGTAGAGGTGCTGTTTGTCACTAACCCTGCTGTACAGCCTCGTACTCAGCGATTCTCTGAAATGATGGAGAACCACCCATTGTCAGTCAAGCAGCTGGTCCCTGCCCTCATGAAGTTCTACACTGGTAAGTACCACATACATTGCAGTCCTAAACTTGTACTGAATGACATGTAGTATATATTGTAATTTACCAAAAAAGAATAATAATGTAGTTTCTAGTCTTTGTGTAGCTGACCTATACACATTCCTTCTTCACTGGTTTCAATCCTTCCCTGTTTCATTAACAAATGTTTTCCCTGGGCAGATGTTGAGCATACCGGTGCCACCAGCGAGTTCTATGATAAGTTCACTATACGGTACCATATCAGCACTATCTTCAAGAGCCTCTGGCAGAACACTGCCCACCATGGCACTTTCATGGAAGAGTTCAAGTGAGTTTGCTTTTGACAGACTTCTGCAGTAAAAGAAGAATGATCATGTAACGCTGGGTAAGTCACTCCCTGATTAAATCAATTCTAACCGGACCTGCTTTTCGTCTTTTTGTGCTTACTTCCTTCTAGCTCTGGCAAGCAGTTTGTGCGTTACATCAACATGCTGATCAATGACACCACATTCTTGTTAGACGAGAGCCTTGAGTCCCTGAAGCGTATCCACGAAGTTCAAGAAGAGATGAAGAATAAGGAGCAGTGGGATCAGCTACCTAGGGTCTGTGCTCAGCATTATACAGTTTTATAATTGTTTTCCCTGTGTTAGATGGTATTATAGACAGCAGTGGTTATTGTGTGAGCTTGGGTATATTATCACCTCACTTGTTGTGCTGAACTGCGGAAAGCATAAGGTCGTTGTTGCAGAATAGTATTGTTTGTGTTTTCCTGCAAACTTTCAGGAGCAGCAGCAGAGCCGTCAGTCCCAGCTGACTCAGGATGAGCGGGTATCTCGCTCCTATCTGGCGCTGGCCACAGAAACGGTTGAAATGTTCCACATCCTCACTAAACAAGTCCAGAAGCCTTTCCTCAGGCCTGTGAGTGCTGCTGCCCAATTTGGGCATTTTTTTTAAATGGTCACTTTTGCACTTGTTGTATTCTAGGCACTATGAGGGGGATGTACAATAACAACTAATGTAAGGACAAAATTATCTGCCTAGAATGGACATTTTGAACCAGACAGGCTATTCTAAACAGTGCTGCCTTCTTCACACAGGAACTGGGGCCTCGTTTAGCTGCCATGCTGAACTTTAACCTCCAGCAGCTCTGTGGGCCCAAGTGTCGTGACCTGAAGGTGGAGAACCCTGAGAAATATGGGTTTGAGCCCAAGAAGCTCTTAGACCAGCTGACTGACATCTACTTGCAGCTAGACTGTGCCCGCTTTGCTAAAGCAATTGCAGACGACCAGGTTGGCACTGTTGGAGAAAACATTTACAGTTACACACAGATACAGTATTTTCACTGAAAGATTAAGCTTCACTTTGTGTACAAGGTACTGTATTTCCTAACTCTGATCTTAAAACACAAGTGGGAATGTGTTTTGATGAATAATAGTCATGAGAAAAGGCTACAGGCAATTATGATTGATCATCAGTCATGGTGTTGTTGCCTTTAAGACAGCAGTATTGTACTGAGTGAACGTATCGCAGTGTTTCACCTGGCTCATCACAGATACTAGTCACTAGTTAGTGTTACTTCTAATTGACTAATCAAATGGAAATACTGTTTTCCTTTCTGTACTAATGTTATTGGGCTGACGTGCCATTGTTTCTTTGGTTGCAAATTTGTTGCACTAGCATACCAGTTTATGATCTAATTTACAACTATAGTTATTCATATTGCAGTATTTTGAGTGTTATAATAGAAGCTTTGCATTATATGTGTATACAATCTTGTTGCTTACATTGTCATAACCTATGAAAGTGCAGACATACTGTGTTTTAAGTCTGAAGTACAACAGCAATGCACAGTTAAAATACAAAATATTCACATCACCTCAAAGACATTCTTCTCTTCCAGCTCTCTAATGGATTTCTCCTGTTATGTGTTTGCATAGCGGTCGTACAGCCGGGAGCTCTTTGAAGAGGTGATCTCAAAGATGAAGAAAGCTGGTATTAAGTCCTCCATTGCCATTGAAAAATTCAAGCTGCTATCAGAGAAGGTGGAGGAAATAGTCGCCAAAAACTCCCAGTCTGAAATGGACTACAGTGATGCACCTGATGAGTTCAAAGGTGTGTGTCTGTGGATCTGTTTTCCAGTGGCGATAAACTGGCTCAAGAAGCTCTGCATCCTTTTCCCCTCAAAATCTGCACTCGCATCCTTTTTTTAAAGTATGCTTAACTATCAAGCCCAGTGTCTGGGATCGGCTCCAGCCCCCTGTGACTCTCTTCAGGATAAGCACTATAGATTGATGGATGGATGGTCTATTGTGTTGACCAGTTTGTAGCAACATTAAACTGAACATTAACCAATGTCTTTAAATCTAGTTTTATAATAATGTTGAAAAACCAGTTTTTTGAGGGGACTCCCTAACCCACATCTGGTAAGTTGATGAATCTTTAACACCAAGCAGAAAATGCCGCTCGCTTAGAAATTTGGTGCAATTTGAGGTCCGTCAGTGCAGACGGAAAGGATCTTCAGCAGTCTCTGTTGTTGAATTCCAGACATATGCAGAGGATTTTGCAGCTTATAGAGGTTGTATTGACAGCTTAGAGCAAGGCTATCCTATAACCACTGACTTAATATAATCTAGGAAGAGATCGTGGCCTACATACCTCTTTTGATTCTCATATCTGCCAGCCAAACCACCGCAGTGGATGAAGTGTGCCATACAGGAGGCCTGAGTATCAACTTTCTGTGCGGTTAAAATACCCATGCCAGATTTTATTTTTGTCATGCTCAAGTCCTGCTGTGACATTTCAGTATAGGGCACACTTTATGAAATGCTATTTTATTGGATATTTTCTTTACTAGTGTTTTGATAGGCGCACCAGTATTGCTTTTCTATAACGCACATTTTATTCAGCATTTGGGGATGAACAACTTTCTGCACAGGCCAAAAGCATAAAATCAGGATAGTTGGAATGTTATTTTTGCATCTGAATCCTCTGTAAAGTGTACATTATGACTGTTTTAATAGACCCTCTAATGGACACACTGATGACTGACCCTGTGATGCTGCCGTCGGGGAACATAATGGACAGATCAATCATCTTGCGCCACCTGCTCAACTCCCCTACTGATCCCTTCAACAGGCAGCCCCTCACAGAGAGCATGCTGGAGTCAGGTAACCCTGACTCTGCCTTTTCACCAGTGATTATGTAAAGCTGTTCAAAGTAGGCAAGCGCATTTGCTAAAATCTGTTTATCATCAACCGCAAAGCATTTCCCCAGTTTTAGATTGAAGGCATGTAGTTCTAGGACACCTAAATGCCAAATTGAATGACTGGTTAGACTGTGAATGTCTGTTTTGTAGCTACTCCTCACAATCTGTTTGTAATTCTACAGTTCCTGAACTGAAGGAGAGGATCCACGCCTGGATGAGGGAGAAACAAGGTGGACGGCCTGTCTAAGGACCATGTGTCACCAATGTCTGGCCTGCTAACCATCATTAAGGGATCTGTCAATATTGCCTGAGTTTGGTGTCACTGCTACCAGTGACAAAGAAAAAACATTTGGAATGGAAGAAAAAGGAGTACCGATTTGATTTTTATTCACATTTACCCTTTTGGTCTCAAACCATTATCGTGGTTCTAAAAACAAAACAATAAAGTCAAGAGTTTTACGTTTTTCTCATGAGTTTGTGTATGTATATATATATATACATATATATAAAAATATATACATATATTTAACAGGAGTTAGTTAATGCACCATAATGCTGCAAGAAGTTTCCACCACCAACAGGTTTACCAGCAAGGTGCATACAGTCACTTCATTCATTGTTTTCCTTTATGGTTCTCATTTTGTTTTGTAAAACTCTGTATATTGGCTTCGTTAAAGACTTGGAGGGAGAGGGGAGGGCTCTGATAAAACTGCTAGCCCTGAATTTTTATTACGAAGTCTAACGGTGATTGAACATCCATCCCCATAATGTTTGCTGGTGTCCCAGAGCGCATTAAGTGCTTGTAGACGAAATTCAGAAGTGGGAATGTCTACTAAGTGTGTAGCTTAACATAGATTAATCCTAAATGTCAACTTCCTTTTGATTACAGTAGGGCAGTAATGAGTGGTTTATTAAAATACAAATTGTTCATTTGTTGCTTTTTAGTCACATTTTCCCTGCTGACTTTGATAGAGTGAAATTACTTTTTGTGTGTGCATGGCCTCAGTTCAAGAACCTCCTAAGCGCCTCATGGACAAATCCTTTTTTTAGGCGAAGTAGAAGGAATATGACAGAATGTAGCATGACCACCAGAAACACGATTATACAGTAGGAGCACACCATTAAAAGTTTGTTCTTCAGAACCACCGACATCTTACCCTGAAGTGGTCTCTTTCATTGGCACTGTACCTAACTTGACCTTGCTGACCTTAATTGTACAGGGAAATGATTTCCTTTAACTACATCCTTGTTTGGGAAGCTAGGATTTTGAACTGAAATAAATGATGATGCACATTATTTCCCAACTCGTCACTGTTTTTTCCTGAGATTTAGGCCTTAGTGGTTTTGATTGGTCATTTTTGGGCAGTGTTTTTTTTTTCTTTTCTTTTTAGCTTGGATTGACCTGATGAAAAGACATGCACAAATATAAAATGTTAGATATATAGAGTATAAACCTTATATCTCTAGTAGTTCTTTATGTGCAGAATAATCATGTTGCAGTCCAGTCCATAAAAACGCAAATCAGCAACAAATTGAGGTGATTTTTTTCATTTTTTCAGACAAGTTATTCCAACTCAGGCCGACCCAAAATTTGTTTTTTCTTTGTAACGTGGTTTCCCGAATGCAATAGCTTAGTCATTCTTCCTCTACAACTATTATAAACTAATGGATTAAACTCGGCAACTGTCCCAAATTTATTGGCAAGATTTAGTAGTGTAGGCCTGTTATTAAGGGTAAACTGGAGTGGTCCATCCTGTAACACAAACATTACTCTTTAGACACTCATGGAAGATGTTTATATTTGTTGTGAACCATGAAAAACATAGGTGCAAAACTATACATAATATTATCAAAAGTAAAATCAAAAACAGCATAGAATGAATTTTCTGATGTAGTTTTCATCTAAATTAAACGTTTGACATGTCTGCTGGTACAATACCTCCATTTTTGTGGCTCTTGTGTGCGAATTGATTTCTAAAACGTATAAGTGGACTGTAGACACGAGAGGTTTATGAAATGTGGAGCAGCGTTTATTATTTCGGTGTGACATTTCTCGTTAGGCGGCGATCTATACAGTGACCCTCGGTGTTGCGGTGACAATGGTGCGGGGAGCGGTGACTAGAAATCCTGCAGTGTGGCGTCACAATGGAGAAAAAAAATAGATCCCACCAACCCCGTGTCAAGTCTGAGTCAGGGAATTTCTATTGGCTCTTAAACGTATTAATCACCGTTTTCTCCTCGTTCATTGGCCAGTCAGGCAGTCAGTCAGCGTTGCCGAGAGGGTGTTGACGTAATCTCTTTGGTGAAGCAAGGCGATCCATCAGTTCTTCTCTCCTCTTCTGTGCAGATAGATGTTCGCAATATTATCTCTACTAGAAAAATAAGTCACCGGTTGCAGTTACAGCTCTATCCGGCGGGGGATACCGCTATAATGGGTGTTTTTCACGGAAGTGGACTTTGTATTAGTTTTCGTGCTCGCAAATTCAGATAAAAAGAACAGCACATTTTGACGCCCACCGCTAGCTAGCGTCGGTCCTCTCCGCTCTGCCTTGGTCTTGGTGAGAGTCTTCATACGTGAGTAAAAACGTTTGAATAAATTCATTAGTCATATTTTTAAAGTTTGTAATGCATGAGATTGTTATTAGAGTTTCATTTCAGACAGTTGGTAGTGGCTCGTGAACAGCCTGTCTGTATTGGCTAAAGGGAGTCATAGCCGTACCAGTGTCCGGCAGTGTCTTTAGGCTCTTACATAGTCCCGATTCCTGTAACAGCTATCTGTTCCTTTTGAATGGATAAGTATATAACGTTAGGCCTAATATTACTTGTGTACGATAACAGTATTCGGCTATGTTTGGTTTACCCATCAGGCAGATAACAGAGGTTAGTTCCGTCTCAAGTAGAAAACGTTAGTGAAGTCACAGCCGTCAACGTTTCATGGTTTGACGCTAGCTTAAAATAGGTAGATATACAACTGCAACAGTATGAAACATTGCACTCATCGGGATTTAATATTAAGGATATGACTACTGTCCTCCAAGCACGAACAGTGTAATGTTACCGATTCTGCAGTTAAATTAAGCATGCAACTCATCCCTACTCTATCCTGCATCGCACAGCAGCGGGCGATTAGCATATATCGGCAAATTTAATTTTAAGAATGTAAATATAGGCTCTTTGTCTGCACAAGATGAACACTGTTAGATGTAGCAGACAGGCCCATCTCTCTGTCCCACTGTAGCCCACACCAAATAGGGTGGATAGAATTTCATGGGCGTATGCTTTAGCAAGTATGGCTGACTGCAAGGGCATGGAAAAACGAGATATTTGGCCTCTGGAGTCCCGGGATTCGGGATGTAGATTATACCTTAAGATTTCTATAAACATAATGGAATGTTGTGTTATAATAGGCTATGGGCGCATATAAGCCTCCCTGTTATTACATGCAGTATTCATGTTTTTATTCGGCAAAAACGTATGTCACATACTGTAATGGATAAGTAAATGCATTTTCTTGCGGCTAAATGTTTGATGGGCTGGATGGAATGCTGCTTAGAAAATACTGAAGGCTTCAGTGGTCAGCCATATTTGTTGGATGTTGTTATGATTGGAAATTGGGAGGGGGTGGGCTTTCATTGTGTTTGATTTACATTCAGTGATAATAGGTTCTGCACTAGTGAATTCTGGCAGTTTCTGTTCTTTAAATTATTAAACAAGTTTTGCCTCATATTCTTTCACAAAGCACATGCAAACTTCTCTTTTTCTGTGTTTCTTTTAGGAGGGATTTTCAAGGAATCTGACTGGGAGACAGTCCTAAACCACAAACATGTCTGGGGCGTCTGTAAAAGTCGCTGTTCGAGTTCGGCCCTTCAACTCCAGGGAGATGAGCAAGGAGTCAAAATGTATTATTCAGATGCAAGGCAACACTACAAGTAAGTAGCCCACTGGAATGTACACAACAACGCCATGTATTGAATGTATGCAGTCCAGTTTGCAAAGAGAAGGCTGGTATACCACACATGCTCCCGTGTGGTTTTCTTCAGGGGCCTAGCAGAGAACAGTAGAATTAACAAACTGAATAGTGGATGTTGGGGACAAACAGCCTGAAAGAGAATAAAAGGCTTACAGAGTGAAATTCCTCCTCCTTTGAAGGGGCCTGCATGCCTGAGGAGTCTCTGTGTGAGAAACGCTGAGTTGGTTCATACTGTGAGACCCAGGGGTCACTACACAGCCTTCCACGGCCTGCGCAGACCCAAGTTCTTCAAGGCTTTATCACACAGTCGATGTCTTAGAAGGATGTCTGGCTTTGTGGTTTGATTTAGTTAGCTCTTGGTCTGCACAAACAGCTTGTACAGGAAGTATTATAAAATGTAATGAGCACAAGTTAAGACTTTATGATGTACAGCTTTTAGTTTTGCTGCCAGTTTTACGGGAACAACAAAACAAAACAGTTATAAAGGTCTACTAACTGACATTAAGAAATCAAGTTCATTTTTAAACTCTTGCAGTTTTAGAACCTGTGTTGTCTTTAACAGCATATTATAAGGGTCAGTGATGTTATAGATGTGCTTAATATTCTCCGGAAAGTTTTCATTGGGTTAGTTGTTATTGGTTTTTACAACATCAGGATACATGAACATGTGACTTTACAATTCTTGAAAATTTTAAATTGCTAATAGAAAGACCGCACACAAAGTAGGTGCTAAGATCAGATTTTGTTAGTCTAAATGCGTCCCTGCAAAGTGTCTTTAAAAATAATTTCATAGGTATATACGCTATGGATGGATCATCGTGTAGTTTTTCATGAACACTTTGAATTTGTTGCTGTGAAGCTGTGGTGTTACCCTGGTTTACTACTGTTGCTGTGAAATCTATGAACATCTATGAAAGGATAGACGAAGAGGAGAAGACCTGAATGAGGTTTGTATTTTTGTGATTCAACCTGTTTTCTTGTGACTGTGAATCATCAGGTAATGTAAAGTACTAGCTGCTTCCTTACTCATGCCTGTGCTGTGTGCCATTTCAGCGGACAGATGAACACAGTCACCCCTGACATTAGCATGGAAACATTTAATGATTCAGTAAGAAGACAGCATGTGACGGCAGAAACCTGTTCTGCCAGCAGGCTGTCTTATTTTCCTCGAGATTCATCTGTCAGACTTATAGGGCTCGTTAGACTAAGACTATATGAATCTTCCATAAGATCAAGTGTCCCTAACAGTTATGGCTCACTTGCTCCTTATCTTTTACACTCTACCAAAGACAAGCTTTGTTTTAAGTCCACAGTACTCTTACTCCATATCCTTGGGTTTTCATTATGCCAGTGTCACTTGGAGGTGCTGGAGGGTGACCCATGGATTGTAGCAGAACTGCAGTGAAATTTGCAGTTTTTTGGGGGTTAGTGAGTGTGTGAGCGAGGGAGAGGAGGAGGCTGCAGTGCTGCCTACTTTACCTCCTATCACATGCGCAGATTGCAGAACAGAAAGGGAGACTGGCAGGCAGCCAGTATCTCCCTTCATCAGGACTTCATTGCAGATGGTATGCTGTGAATGCCATCTCACTAAGATGCTGAGAGGTTGCAAGGGAGCTTGTGGCTCAAATGTGCACAGGTTCATACCTGGAACTGAGATTACTTGACAGGCGAAGTGAAGTTCTCAGACTGTATAATGTAGCCGTGAATCAGTGGATTTTCTTAGGCTCCCTGTATCTACTGAAGTCACATGTAACTTACACTGGAAATCTAAACTACTCGGTGGTTTGTGTGACAGACTGAGGTTTGCTCACGGTGTTTTAGTGAAGGGTCACACTTATGATGATTTTTATGAGTACAGCATGAGATAACATTTGTGTTAACCTTTCTCAATTGTGAATAGTACTTAGTTAATTTTGAGCATTTGCTTTCAGACAGTGATATTGTACGACTGGGTTTCACTACAGACAGAACCACATATATGTGTAATTCCCTAATTTTGTTAAAAATGAAGCCACATCATTCATTACAACTTCATTCGATACTCCACACAACAACTGTGACTATCAAATACTCACCAGTCACCTTGAAATGTGGTTATATTATATTTGTAGTTTTGGGGGGTTTTAAGTCAGCTCAAATTAACATTTGTACTGTTGAATATACTACTTCAATCAGACTCAGCAGTGCAATAGTGCCTAACACAGACACTGGAATACGTTTGTTTGTCTATAATTTTACAGGGTGTGTGGTGATGGTTTACATATAAACGGGCCTGAAAGCTGCCAGACAGGAATAGGATGTTTTATGGAGTTGCTTGGTCAGCTTGTAGGTGTTTGGTGGATGTGTAGACGAAGCCATGACTCTTCCCTTGTTGTGTTTGCCTCAAGGGTATATGTGTTCATCTGAATGCGTGTGTCAACAGCAGCACAGAGGGAAGTGAGAGCTTGGCTCTCTCTCACACGCTCTCTTCTTTTCACCATGCATCATGCATGGAGAGTTATTAAGGATAGAGTGCAGGCGGAGGGGCACCAAATTCATTATGCAATGGGCAGGAAATGTGTCCAAGGAAACGGGAAACTAGTAAAGACCTCTCTCAGTAGAAGCTCTTAAACATATGTGCTGTTAGGGTTGGATGGAAATTGGATGAAGTATTGATTTTTCAATATAATTGCTATTCTTATTTGAATGATTCAGTATTGTCAGCCCTGTGATAGGGTGTACTCTTGCCCAATGTCAGCTGAGATTGGCTCCAGCCCCCCGTGACCCTTTTTGGGATAAGCGTTATAGATAATGGATGGATGGATGATTCAGTATTGATTCTTGAAAGCTCATGCTTGATCTTTGCATTTGTGCCTTTGTGGTGCTTGTTCGTTTTATATTGAAAAGAGAAGACTAATAAGAGGATATATATTTCTCAATGTGAAATTTATTATGCATTAACGTATCAAAATTAGCATGTGCACATGGAATTCCACTGTTTAGGATAAACAGGAAAGACTAAACAGGAAAGACTACCTCAAATGGTTGGTATACAATATTTGTATGAAAAAATGCTACTATCTAATTGGTCCAAAACTGTTGGGGAGAAGCTGTGGTTTAGACTTAACTCTCCCGTCATTGGTCCCCCATTCTGGTCCGATCTCTGGCGTTGATCTCGTCACTGGCGCGACCTTGTCCTGAAACAGACTTGCACAGCCCATAACGCTTCTTAGTATCTTATCAAACCTCAACTCCCCTGGCTTCAAGGAGCAGAGGGAATAATGGGCTCTTTTAGGAAAAGGCAACAAATCTAATGAAAACCTGTGGGATGATTAGTCCTTGGAAAACCACTCAGTGCACCAGACTTATGATGTTGCATTAGTGTTTCAGTAACTCACACAGCAAATATTTGACCAGTGGTTAAGTGAACTCATATAGTGATATTCATAACTATATAAGCATATCTGTGACATATAAGTATGTAAACTTATGTGTGCTATAAAATAAAACCATTCTTAAGTGCATAAAATAAAAATCACCCTAACACCTTGTCTTAGTAAAACAGCGAGTCCCTGTACATGACCATTCCCAGACATGTGGTAACCTCAGGCCCTGTATTTTTCTCCACATCCTCTGGTCACAGTGGAGGCAGCAGGAGGTAAAATATATCCACAAAACTGTGCGCAGTCTCAAAATTCAGCTTTTACAATGGCACTATTAGAAATGATATTCATAAACTGATAGAACCAACAGAAGGTTAAACCTTCACCTTTCAGACACAGAACTGATGAGTGTCCTCTCAGTATAAGCTAAGTGGATGGCGGCCTTATAAAAACCCTACAGGGTGGAATTGTCTTAGCACCAGTGTCAGTTACACAGAAGAGAAGGCTATCACCACAGAAGAAATGGCAATCAGCACATCTCATATTAATGAACTGTGGTGACTCTGGAGAGTGCTGGTGGGAGAGGTGGAGATAAAAATGGGGAGCATGGGTCT